AGTCCCGAAATGACCTAGTTTGTGTCGAGTGGACGTTAAACCCCATGTCTCTCTCTCACTCTGAATTAAGAATAATTAATTGAAATATAGTGCGTGGTAATATTTTGTCTTTAAGTACAAACAAGCTACTTTAACTTTTACTTTGGAACATCGAAAATGATCTTGCATAACAGAGCCAAAACGCTTCGGAACCTGTTTCAACAATACGTAAAAACTGTTAAATCAAAATATCTTCGAATTAGTCTTAATCTTAGTTTAGTATACATAATTTGATTTTTACGTTTGCCAATATAATAAAAGAGAGGTATTTTCGGATTATGTTTTGAGAGTGATAAGACATTTGTTATGCACGGATTTAGGCTGTTCCAGAGTAGGATAGCTGATGGAAAGAATGAATTGTAATAGAGAGATGTTCTGCAGAATATTTCATCTAAGTCTGGTTTACTTCTAAGATTATATGGGGATGTTTTTAATTTAATGTGGTTGGATAAATAATATGGAACCGTTCCATTAATAATTTTATATATTGTCTGTAATTTATGCCCTTTTCTTCTTTCATTCAAAGGAATAATACCAGTTTCCAGATGGCTAGTTCCCTTTACAGCCCCACAAATAGTGCGTAAGGCGTCAAGTTGAAGGTGTTCTAGTTGGTTCGCTAGGTGATCAGTGCAACTTTCCCAAATAATGTCGGCGTAGTCGAAATGCGGTAGTATACAAGAATTGTAAATTATGAAAAGAGATTTTCTATTTTGCCCGTACTTTAGGGATCTTAAAGAATTGATTATTTTTGATAGTTTATTACAAATATTATTTATGTGGATATCCCATTTAAAGGACAATATTGGTGCCAGTCATTATCATATATGTGATAGAACTGGTTAAACACGTTCCAAATATTATTTTATCACAGAAATCATTGCTACGATAGATGTGGAATCAATGTTTCAACAATCGGAAGTGACGAACGCAAAAGGAAAACACGAGTAATCCCTCTATATAACTGATTGAAGTGACGGGTGATAACAGGTACATGGGCGAATTTCTGCCCACTAATAATTCCTTCGAAGACCAAAAGTTGTTGTGTGAGACTGTGAAAGGATATCTGACAGTTCCTTTTGTGTTCGTCACTTCCGATTGCTGAAGCATTGATTACGCCTCTATCGTAGCAATGATCTCTGTGTTAAAATAATATTTGGAATGTGTTTAACCAGTTCTATCAAATATATGTGATAATGACTGGCACCAATATTGTCCTTTGAGTTTGTGTTGGAAGAAAAGACTCAAGTGCTTGTGGTTTAATTGCACATCATTTATTTTGACAGTGTCCATAAAAAGTGGTGGTATGTTATTGTGTGGTTTGATAGATATATTGTTAGTGACCGATGCAAGCTATTGTATTGTTGACGGCATGAAACGCCAATATATGTTCTTAATCTGTTTCACAGAGGATTGCGAATTCGGAAAGTCTGACTTACCTTCAACACGTGGCGTCTCATAAGGCGGCGTCAATCATTGGCTCAATGGCGCGTGCATTGGTTACATAAGACGTTACTGGTTCGGGCGGAATGAAGTCTTATACTCATTTTAATACCCATTTACACTAAATAGGAAATAATTTTTACCTACAAATAGGTCAAACGTCCTTATTTATTTTTCTAATAGATAAAAAAATGTTTTAGAATTTAATATGTCGGAGGAAAAAAGTTAATATTTGTGACTCATTAAGTCGCACCGATGTCATCCTTATCAGTGATTGTCGCGGCGTAGCGAATATTCACTGCTGATCATTGTGATATTTTCTATCCAACTCTATGGAAAGACAACTCTTACATGACTAATTTAACGATGCACTATTTGAAAAACGTCTGTATACGCGATTGACAAACATTTTAGTCATTCAAACGGTTACTTACGTCGTAAAGAGGTATTATGAATTTCAACATACTGTAGTAAATGTATCTTCATTATAATTTTATATTATTTCATATTTAAAGGAGCTAAGTCGCTAATATTTGGGAATAGAAATTGACACCAATGGGTCGCAATGCATACAAAAATGTAATATGAATGTATATGTAGTAGTTATTAGCACACTTTCCGAGGTGTATCGGTGAATATCAGGACAGTTTTGGTCGAGGGGCACAGCCGAGGCGGAGCCGAGGCGGCTCCCGACCAAAACTGTCCTGATATTCACCAATGCACCGAGGAAAGGTGCTAATAAGTTACTTACATCACATTTCTATCGAGTATTGTGAAGCAAAATGTGAAAAAAAAGTATTTATTATCGAGTCGTTTCAACCGAAAAGTGACAAATACTTTCTGCTCTTTCAGTATTTATCCCTTTCTGAGCCTCACGTTACATTTCATGGTAGAATAATTTCGCAGTGGAGAGACGACCTGAGTAGTATTTACACGTGCGTCTTGCTATAATACTCTGAGCGTAAAACAATCACGTGTTTGTTTAGACCACATCGTCAAAACAACTTGTCTATGGCTAGGGGACTGCGATATTATTAAATGTAGTGTAAAGGAAATGCGAAACGTGGGTCATTCCTGGTGAAAGTATGCATCGGCGGATGGTTCTTCCGTTGAAATTTATTTGTAATAAAGTTTATGACTTTCTAGGCTTTTTTTTTCAGCCTGTTTATTTTCAATTCCTGTGAAGTGTCCGAGAAGAGAACTGCGCCTTCTATCATCACAATTAATTAAAATAATTATTCAATATTCTAATTTATATATTTTGCATATTAATATAAATCAAACCAAATTATGAAATAGATGCCAATTGATATGTATAATAATTGATTTTTGTAATATGTTGTTATGTTAATTTAATGTCATTGTATATGTTTTTGAACTGCCATGTAGTTCCCCCCCATTTTGTTTTGTTACTATGATTTTGACTAGTTGTTTCATGTACATTATCCTTGTGCATTGTATAGAGCCATCGTTATCAATTGCGATCTGGGTGGGACTAAACGTCCGCTACTTATTATTGATAGGAATCTAAAACGGTATAAAAGTATCAGAAATGAACAGTATGCTTTCTGTACATTTCTGATACACGGATACTTTTAAGCATGTATTGAAAATAAACAGGACAGTTTTATCAAAGGTTGCCAGTGGCAACGAGTAGAAGTGGGATGCAAGAATTGATTTACATTCAAACGTTTCTGTTTTTACTGTAATTTTTAGTCAGTTAGGTTCGGCGAAATACGCCAGTATTCTCCATCGACTTTCAATCTCTGGCATCAGGTTATTCAAGTCTACGCCAATATTATTTATTGTTTATTTTGTCTTTAATATTGGATACCAGAAGGCCATCACTAACAAAGGGGGGGGGGGCACGCTGGGAAATTCCGATGAGCTTTCTCAGCCAACACCTGATTAATCCCCAGACCTCCTGTTTAAATCTAGTCAAAATCTCCAGTATCCGATGCCATCGAGAGTTGATTATGGTCTTGTTTTGTTAATATATGTATAATTAATAGTTTTTAAAACAGTACGGGCCTAAAGAAAGAACTGCAATATTAGGCAGATTTAGCTCCTGCATAATGTTTAATGGGTGCTTTAAAACAAAGAATATATATTGAGCAGAAATAACTAAAACTTATTTCCGTGCATTTTTTCTCTTCATAACTTAGACAAAACGAAACTAGCACTGCAGTTTTCTACGCATTGCTATTTGTATTGTTTTTCTATTGCTGAAACTGTATAGAAATATAGTAATTATTATTATTCGATTTATATAGCGCTTCATTACACATGAGTGTTTCTAAGCGCATATCACAAACCAACACTTCAAACACACAAAAAAGATCAAAATCAGGAGAGCATAATTACACACAGCTGCCTGTTAGGCGCTATTATTGAAAGGTTAATAAACAATGAAGGACAACTACACAACTAAACACATGGCACCTTTTCTAACTAATGTTGCACTTGGAAACCTACGAAATACACCACATTCTCTTTGTTTGTCCGACGTGGTTTCACCTTGTCAGTGATGCAGGAAGGAAGCTGTCTAGTTGTTAGGATGGGACGAAAAACCGAGGCCCTGTGTATACCTTGGCGTTCACGTATTAGATCCCTTGGCAGTTGGAATTCGATATAAGATTAGGCCATAGTGCCGCTCCCCGGGCATAATTTCCCTCGTAGCACACTGCATGGCGTATGTCCGTCTTCATTAGCCCAGGACAGAACACTTGGACGTTAAACCATTTTGTTGATAATATAAGAAATTTGACTATGAGAGTCGCCACTTGATTAGAATTCCAGCGGTATAACAAGACGATTATTATCAGTATTGTTATATTGTAGGGTATACGTTATGAGGTTAGGTTGTTCCATTGTAAAAATCACAATTAACCTTAACAGTTGGCTAGCTTGACCTAACTGTACTATTTGAATTCAAACAACTTGGGAATAATACTGCTATTAAGACATTTTAAAGAAACACCTACGACATTGGGGGCTTATAGGCGTGGCTCGCATTTTTGATGACGATAATAATTATGTTCGTTTTCTGTAACAGCTGTTAGCCGTATCCATGACTAATTCATGAATATGTTAGTTAAGAACAACAATATTTTAGAGCCGTAGAGGTCGACCACAAAAAGTTTCCAAGTCAAGAACATATGTTACCCAACTCAGATAAATTTTAAATTAACAAATGTCTCCTCCGCCTGTGACTCATGTTTCAGTTTGCGGGGTAACACGCACGTGTTTCAGTATAATTATATTTATGTAAACTTTTAGTGAATTATTAAATTATTTCAGGAAAATGTAACGATTTCAGTCTCTATTTATTCTTCTCCATTTGAAACATAAATGCTAAGGTATTTTTGTGACACAATAAAATCTTCAGAAATTTAAAATCGGCGTTATCGGCTATCGATAAACAAGACAGATTACATCGTAGTTAAAGGGGAGCAACTCTGTTTTATACCCACCCTGGGAAAGAAAGATTTGGTCATCTGCGCATGCGAATTGACCTAGTATCTCATGTATCGATTAGCAAAATGTTTTGATTACCATTCGGCTTACACATGAAACTGTTTGGTTTGTCAACGGCTACTAACGTTTATATTGGTTTTTAGCAGGAGGAAACTGCCAAGGTCGACATTGTTTAGGATATAAATGAGAAGGGGAGATTTCCGTTACGTTTAAAACAAGATGTGAACTTATTTGACAAGATAACAGGTACCCGTTTTGACGTTTCTCAACACACGGTACGGCATTCAGCTGTCTGTACAGACCGTAACCGTGGAGTTTATTCACTACTCAATTTTTTGACAGTTCGCTTCATTGTTAAAATTTGAAATATATAAGCTATAGCACGTGTAAGTAAATTGTTCAACTCTGAATGAATGGACTCGGAAATGAGCCTCGTGGATATCACATTAAATTCCCAACACAGGAACTGTTGTTCCGAATTGTCAAGTGGATGTTTGATGGTTCAAGTGTGTTTTAGAGGTTCATAAAATGTATAATTAATTTACATGTGAAATAGTACAGTAATACTATTAGATAATTACCAAATTTTTGCCGGATGAAATGAACGTGAACTGTGTCAGTAGGGCATTTTTCCATTGCTAAATCAAAACCATTTTTTTTAGATACTGCCACTAACATTTTGAGTGAGAATATGGGAGGCTAAGTTGATTGAACATTTTTGTGTGATATTTTAGATTAGTTTCATTAAAATAAACTATTTAACATGGTGAAGCCCTCAGTATGATGTCCTTCATGTCAAGAAAAAAGAAGTTTAAATTTCATGTCAATTTTATGGTTGAAGAAATTTCTTCTGTTCCTTTTGTCAGTGGAATTTTGTTTGCCAAGATTCGTCTTCACGATGGAGGGAATTTCTGTGAATTTAGTAACCGGTGAGTAAATTTTAGACCTATTTTATATATTTAAGGTATGTGACAGAGCCCAGTCTTCCAATGGAAAAGATTCAATTTTTAACTTATTCTGAGGAAACCATAATTAATGAGGGCCTACATGTAAAACTAAAGCTCTGTTTACATGCTATGCCAGTATCTGACAGTAAAATCCGACCCTAAGGCAGGCTAAGTGTACAATTTTACGGTACATAGTTTCTGAATTCTAGTTTCTGTACTTTTTTCATATGATAGGGCTATGATTTGTGCTATCCCCCCCTATGATAAGATTCCGGAGTTAAATTGCTGTTCATACAAAATTCTTTGATCTAAGATGACCAGTGCTAGAATTCTTGATAGTTTATACCAATGTAAGTGAGTCTGACATTTTTTCTTAAATATGATATTCTATAAAATTAGATGTGATTACTGGTACATTTATTTTCTTCTCCAAGATGATAATATCTCTTTAAGTTGACATATTGTATTGCAATATAGGCCAATACATACATCTATCAAACATTCATTCATTCATACATGTAGGGCCTAAATACACTACTGTACGGTAAAACTGTTAGAATCACATTATATCATGAACATGTACAATTATAACAAACTGTTTCTTAAAGACAAAATGACCAGTAGCTAGTACTATTGTCAACAGATTATTGTCTTCAAAGGGTTGGTTTTAAATGTACATGTATATCTAATGAACATGGACATGTTTTTGTAATAAAATGTCTTACTCATAGTCATGAAAAGCTATATAAGCAATTTCTAAAAACTGCAAGTTAGCAGTAAATTCAGTAAAGAATACATGTATAAAGTGAATTATATACAGTTTGTGTCATACTTTCTAAATGGAGAGAGAGAGAGGAGAGAGAGATGGGGTTTAATGTACAGTGTCAATGTCCCATAGAAGAATTCAGATTTTATTTAGTATATCACCACCAAAATGCTCCAAATCTACAGATGATACTGACATGATCAGCTCTCGTCCATCTAATAATATTACATCCTTGAATGTTGAAGCAATATCAGCTTCTACAATAGGTCTGCATTTTAGTTTACCTCAAAAGTTCGCGACAGAGAAAAATTTCTAAAAACATAAAATCTTAAAGTGGTTACCCCAGATGTTGAAATAGCTTTCAAAAAATAGGCTTCTGCAAAGCAGAGAGGCATTTTGTAAATTATAATATCATATGTATATTGTATATATTAAAAATATATGGCTAATAAATTAAAATGAGAAATTGGCAGAAAAAAAATGAAAATCAGAGTGAGCACTGAGCACTGATGTACACTCAACACAAACTAGGTTATTTTGGGACTAACATACATGTACGGTTCAATTTTATTTCAATAATTCACATGCACGTCGGGGTCTTTAGAAGTGGGAGGAAACAGAAGGACTTAGAGAAAACCCACACGGTTGGACAGGCAACTACTTTTCTTAAGAAAAAAACCCAACTTAGCATTAAAGAATATAAAATGTGGTTTCCCCTTGTCAGTGATGCAGGACGGAGGGCCTGACAAGGACAGCTGTCTAGTCGTTCGGATGGGACGGAAAACTGAGGTCCCGTGTACACATTGGCGTGCACGTTAAAGATCCCTTGGCATTTGAAATTTGATATAAGAGTAGGCCGTAGCGCCGCTGCCCAGGCAAAATTTCCCTCCTAGCACACTGTATGGCGTATGCCCGTCTTCATTAGCCCAGCATAGGAGCAGAACAGTAGGACGTTAAACCCCATTTCATTTAATTTCAGAATATAAAATGAGTGTATACATATGGTTTGTGTCAATACGTATGTACAATGTATATGAAGTATTTGTCTTGATTTGGGGGGTTGGATGGCTGAATGGTTAGCGTGCGCGCGCTGTATCATAAAGTCTGTCATTGAGTCGACTGACGTGGTTTCGAATCCCCGGTTGTACGTGGCAAGGAGTAGGGTTGCATGTCCAACCTCGTGGGTTTTCTCCGGGGCCTCCGGTTTCCTCCCACTGCTAAAGACCCGTACGCGCAAGCGAATTATGTAAATAGAATTAAACCATATGTTAGTCCCGAAATGACCTAGTTTGTGTCGAGTGGACGTTAAACCCCATTTCTCTTTTTCTCTCTTTTTATCTTGATTTCCCCAGAGTTTACTAAATATCATTGATTACAATACAGACAGGTACACGTAGTGGGTTATTAAACAATAATGATAATTTTACACTTGGGAGAATTATATATTCTGTTCATGAAATGAAATGGGATTTAATGTCCTGCTGTTCTGCTCCTATACTAACTGGGCTAATGACAACTGGCATACACCATGCAGTGTGCTATGAGGGAAATTTTGCCCAGGCAGTTGCACTATAGGCCACACTTATATCAAATTCCAACTGCCAAGTGATCTTTTACGTGCACGTCAATGTATACATGGAACCTCGGTTTTTCGTCACATCTGAATGACTAGACAGCTGTCCTTTTCAAGCCCTTTATCCTGTACCATTACCACTGACAAGGGGAAACCCCGTCGAAAAATCCTGTTGAACTTTTTCGGCCAATGCAGGGATCGAACACGTTCTGTTCATACATGTACTACAATGTACATATATAATAACACAGCACAACACTAATTTTTGTCATATTAGAGAGACAGTAGCAATCTGATTACAACACAGATCCTATTTCGTTTCGTTTTTTATAGTTCAAAATTTCGTTTTACTTGTCTTTACTACACTAGGATCTGGAAGAGTTGTTATCATTGACGTGTTCTAGATGATGTGAGGGATTAGCCAATAAAACAATCTGTTACGGCGTGCTTTTGGCGTGAGCTGCACAGAACTGTGGGTAATCCACTAGAAACATCAATGCTGATTGGTTAATCAAATATCTGATGTCATAGGGTCAAAAGACGCTTGTATGACCTCTGACGTGACCCCCCATAACAACTGGTCAGATCTTCATGTAGTGTAGACCACAGAAAGTATAAAAAACAAAACGAAATATATAGATATGTACAGTATTTTAATCAGATTAAGAGTAGCAATACTGTTTTTATTTTCAGATCTTACATGTACATGTATACCTTATGCATTGTTTTCTTTTAATAGTGACTTTATAATCCTAAAGGCATCCATGTCTAATGGATTAACTGTACATGCACAATAGATTATAATTTACAAAGCTGTAGCTATCTAATATATAACTAAAACAGTCATCTTATTTAATAGGGTTAAATTGCAATGTTGCTAATCTTTAATGGCTTGCAATGGAAAATTAATTTAATTAGTATTCAATTCTTAATTTTAGATATAGTAGAATAAGGTTGATAAATTTTATTGATTTATGAGAATTACAGTGTTATCTCTGTTCTACTGTTTATTGAGTTTGTTCAACTGTGTGGTGGATTTTATACACTCGACACTATTCTAGGGAATGCAATTACTGTTTGTACTCAACGGCATTTCCGCTAGTCTTCCTTAAAGTCTTTATTATTGCTTGTACATGTAGGTGTTTTGAATTTGGCCTATCAATAACTGCCAGTTAATATGGTCAAACCTTCTATTACATGTACTTATGACTCATGAGGCAGTTGTTTCGTCACTGGCTCTTGGTCTATTAGTCTCTATTATTGTTTGTAATAGAGGTCCAATTGAAACATCACTGATTAACAAACTGTAATTGTTTTCCTTAGAAATGTGGGGACCTGTGTACTTCCAGTACAGTTACTAAATATTATTGAATCAGGCGGTTGGATGGTATCATAAGGTCTGTCATCAACTGGCACGGTTTCGATTCCCGGTTGTACGTGACAAGGAGTAGGGTTGGCCTGTCCAACCTCGTAGTTTTTCTCCGGGTTCTCCGGTTTCCTCCCACTGCTAAAGGCGCCTACGCGCTAGTGAATTATTGAAATAGAATTGAAATGTGTTAGTCCCAAAATGCCCTGTTTTGTGACGAATGGACGTTAAAATTCTGTAATTAACAAATGCAACATCAATACTTTGGTTAGTCTTGTGCTGTAATTACTGAAATCAATACTTGGGCTGTTTTAAATGTAATTAAGATGTTTGTTGTTTATTGCGAACATTGATTGATATTGATAGGTCTATTGTCATCAGCTACTAGCTACCTCCATTATTTGTATTGATTGTTAACATTCTACATGTACCTTTTGGCTAATATAACTCTCTCTACCTGTAAAAATTAGATGGGTATAATTGATTAACAATATCCTCTAGGCCATTGTTCTTACATCTACGTACATGTAGGTCATTTTTGGTTTGGTGCATAAATTGCAGATCTCTGGTTTTGTACAAATTGTTTGTCAAATTTTAAAAACATAATCAAGAGTTGTGAAGAAAATAAGTAAAATGTGGGATATTTTTGGTGAAAACCTTGGGGACATTTTTGGTGAAAACCTGGGGACATTTGGTGATTCTGTATTTGTACATGTTTTGAAATTACAATTTTTTAAAGAAATCTTTAAGTTGTGAAGAAAATTATTATTTTTATTATTATTATTATTATTATTATTATTATTATTATTTTTTGAACTTAAAATAATTGTGGTAAATGTGTAAGAAAACTCAAATTACTAAACAGAATGAGGAGGGTAAATTTATTTTCAAAAAGTTGGTTGTGGTAAACCGGATGAATAAGCTTGGGGAACCCCCACAATAAGATCACACTGTGGTGTATTGTTTTTATATGATACCCCTGGAGCATGGTTGATGTAATACATGTAGATATATACAGGATTTAGTATTACATATAATATAATATGATTTATATAAATGCAGTATGAAGGATATTATGTATATTTGGTATGTATATTATGAATAATACATGTAATTGTCTGATGATTGATTTTCTACATAGTTATAAATATACATGTTTGGTGTACACATATATATACTTACTGGGAACTATCAGTAAGAATTAACATATATCAAATGCTAATTTAAATTTTCCCAAAATATGAATTTGTTTCAAATGAAATTTAACTTGTAAGTGT